AGTCTCTTTCAGATAAACTTTGATTTTCTTGTTATAAAAGGATGTATTAAGTGAGCCTTTAAGCTTTAGATGAATACTGCTCTTCTGTACCAAGCTCTGTCAAATATTTTGGGTTTCCTGTTGAGACAGGACATATTAAGTGGGTCTTTAAGCTATAGATGATCAAAAAATATCAAATGTGCACAACTCACTAGACCCCTACATTTGTTTTTAGGTTCAATGGTAAATGGATGGGGTTCTGCGTCTGATGAGGACCGTAACTTTTCTAGTCATAGATCTAGTGTAGGTAGCTCCTCAGATGACTCGATCTTTACCAGCGGCAGTTTTGCACAAGCACTGGTTGCAGCAGCAGATAAAGCTGGTTTTAGGCTGGATGGAACCAGCCTGACAAGAACAGGTTTGTAGACTCAAAGTTGATGCTTTCTGCATGAAAGGTGTCTGCCTATTCTTTTCTTCAGTGAACCTGCATCTCACACGTCTAACATGCATGGAATAAGGTGGATGGAGATATTTTAATCAGTATATTTTAAATGTAGTCTTGCATTATGTTTCATTTTTAGTGATTTGAAGTTGCAACTAGCACAAGCTTTTAATCTGCACCTTCAGTCTTCTGCAGTTTCCCTCTGTGCTGACTCTGCTATAGATTTACTGACATATACTCCGTTTAATATTTCAGTGAAGAGATCACTAATTCTGCCATGGTCTTTGATGATTTCATTTTTTGCGAAATCTCCTCACAATAATTCACATTTCCAGTGATGAACATCATGTTTAAACTATTATCTCCATCCCTGCTCTTCTGTTTCGTCTCTTCTTGCAGAAGTGTGAAGTTTTTCCTGTGAAGTCTTTCTAAGCATGGGGTGGATTAGTGTGCCTTTATTGTTAACAATACAAACTGTTTAAAAGTGTTATTAATAGCTGGTTTAAAAAGTACATAATTCAATAAGTTAATATATTTTGATAAAATTTAATTTTATTTATACCAACTGAAGGTAACATGATACTAGTTTTGAAAACAGCTACTCTTCTAAATTGAATTCATGAAAAGTAAACATAATATAGTTCATACTTTTAAAGCTCCATATATTTTATTTCTAGAAAAAAAAAAAGATAACTGAAAATTATTTTTAAATATTCCGGAAAAAAATAATGTATTTGCATTTGCTTAGTCTTATCAAAATACATAAATAACTCATAATTTAAATCCACAAATCTAATAGCAAAGTATGAACTTGGGTCATATTTTTGGTGTGCTTTCTCAGCCAATTCCTGCCCACAGGTCCCATAATGTTCCTATAATTTAAAATTTTTTTCACTATTAGTCTGGTACGAAGTCTACACTTCAGTAAAATGTGTGCATTTGTGAGAAATGTCTTCACATGTTAGGCCTGAAAACTGCAGGCTTTCCACATGCACTGACTTCATGGCAAACATTGCCTTTTAGGAACGTTAGGAATAAAGAAGAGAATCAATGGCAAAGACTCATGTCACCAACAAACTAAAGGGTGAACAGATACAGCTTTTCTCAGATCACTGGGACTTTTGCTGTTGACATTCAGCAGACATAACCATCAGACCAGAAGATAGTTATTTCGCTGTTAAAAGTAGTTTAAAAACCCTCACTTGCTTCTTACACTAGTGGAAAATTGACTGAGTAAATCATCATTTGAAAAAAAAAACAAAAAACAAAAGGCAAAACAAAAACTGATGTGAAACTTCAAGCATCTGCTATGGACACATTTGGCCAGACTAAGATGCACTGTTTTGTTTGAAGAGTCTCCTAAATAGTCTTGAATTAAAGGAGCAAATCCTTCCCAACTTTTTTTCTGGTATTCTTGGCCTCAGTAAAAGCTACTGCAAAGATTCACCCAAAGTTAATGTCACTTGTATCAGGCCATTGAGAAGAAGTTTCCACCACAAACACACACATAACAAAAGTAAATGGGCACACAAACACATAGACAGTTTTAAATAAATATAATTTCTTTTCGTAGCTGTGTAAAATGAAAGCACAATGAAATTATGTGAGCCCTCTTGTCAGTTATATTTTCCTCACTTAGTGAGGTCATAATGCACTTAAACTGAGTACTTGTATGTAGTTCCTTGGACAGACTGTTAGTTTAGGGTACAACAAAGTATCCAATGGCTGTGGTAGATATGTTATGATTACTACCTTCTTACTCTCTTAATGATCCAGCAGGCAAAATGGAAACAAAGCCCACATGTAGGCAAACAGCCCTCCTCTCTTGTCCTCAAAGTAACTCTTCCAGTGCTTACTGCAGTTTCATTATGATGTGATATGTCCCAGGGCAGTGTGGATCAATCACAGATTACTATTATGGACCTGCTGTACCACAGCAAACTCCACATTCTATAAAACTTTGTCATGTAGTGAGTATACCTGTAGTAGTAATAATACTAGCAGCAGTATTATTTCTGTTAATTGCTCTGGAGGGAGTCTGAAGGTCCTGCCTCTTTACTCCTTTGCAGCCTGGGACAGTTATTTTCACCCATTCAGAACATCTGTGAAATATTCTCACTGATATTAAAGAAGTCCAACTTGATAGCCTCACGTGGGTATGTTTGATTACCAAGAGTAAGAGGCACTGGTAAATCCAGGTGCAAGGTGTCTCTCCTGACAGACGCTTTAATTCCAGTTTCTGGAAGGCATGGTGTGATTTGCCATGCAGTTCAAACAGTTTTTAACACTCTTGGGGAATTAAATCAAGAATTAGTGGATCCATCCTTGTCTCCATTTACATACACTAAATCTACTACGGAGAGTCTTGACACTGCTAAGCAGTTCTTACCGGAAGGGCTGCATACAAATACAAGCTGCTGTAATCAGTTATTAGCTGCACTAAAAAATGTATTTTGGGAGCCTGCACATCATTTATGTTTGCCCCATGTCTGATTTAGGACAGTGCTATTTATTTTATTCCTCATTTCATGGAGGGGTAAAAGAAAGAATGTTTGGTGTCTATTTCTTTTTCAAACCGACATTCTGAATGAATAATCATATTTCTCTAGTCAAAAGAATAAGTGCAAAGAATCTTCATCCTGCACTCACTAGTTGCACTTGCATGTTGTGAGATTATTTCTGCCAAACATCTGTGCAATGTGCTGTGAGCTAGGATGGAATTTCAGGCTCATATCTGACTTTATTTGCATTAGTGGTCTTTATTTTTAAATGAAATTTTTATATTTTTGCCTGTGTTCATCTGCTGGTTTATCCTTATCTATGAAACAAGGGCTTGATCACTAGTCTTTGTCTGGCTGCAGCTGTGCCAGCTATAGAGGTTAATGTTTCCAGCCTTCCCCCAAATGCTTATTACTGCTTTCTTTCAGCTCCAGAATTAGCTGCTTGGGTGGGCATTCTGTAACCCATTTCAGTTAAAATGAGCCAGGTTAACGAAGGCATACTTTTCATATACCGTTTAAGTTCAGCTGGGCTTATTTTGGTAGAGAAGAATTAGGGGATGTCCACATGAGGGGTTCAAACGTGGTAACCTCCAATAGCAGGCAGTGTCATGATGCTGGGAGACAAGCTGGCCTAAGAGCAGTGTCCTCTTCAGGGTGCACATCAGTCAGAAGGCAGAAGGTCAAGCCTGAGACAGCCATGAAATCTCTGAAGTCAAATACTGAGATGTTATTCTAACATGTATGTATTAATATGAAACACCATGATGGATTATGGCTACCTTTTTCACTGCCCTCTTTGCACTGAGAATATTTTGAATAGTGTAGTGGGTAGCATATTACTCCTGATCAGGCCTATCTAGAGCAGGTCGTATGTGATGGCATGTCAGAAGTAAGTGCATCTGTTGAAAGGTTTTACCAGAAAACATAACTCATAGCAGAGTAGAGCCTTGTCTAAGTTAACCACAAGATAAAATAGCTCCTTACTAGCTTGGGGTCAGTTGACCAGAAAAATAACAAACAGCCATTTTGCCACTTTCCATCAACTGTTACACCATTTGAGGCTACAGTAGCACTGAAAGAGAAGAATCTCTGACTGGCTTATATATTTTCCACTGCAGATAAGATTTAAACAAGTAATAATTTTAAGTACCACTTCTAAATGAATTAAAATGTTAACATCCCCAATATACTTGTCAAGAATGACATACAGATGAGAAAAAGAGTAAAAGATGGTGTTCTTTAGTTTCCATCAGTTATTAAACAATAAGCCCAGTTAACTGAATAAAAATACCAAAATAAGAGGAAATTAATGTAGTAAATGAACTGTGCTCCTACGGTTTCTGTATGATGCTTTTAATGATCTGCTCCTTAAAAAAGCATCAAAGATTTTTTAAGAGAAATCACGTAGCTTGATTAGTCTCTCTCTCTCTCTCTCTATATATATATATATAAATATATATATATATAAATCTGAGGAATAAATTCAGTCAGGTTACACTGAGTTTTTAGCTCAAAAATACCAAAAATTAACGGAAAAAATTTAGCATTTAAATATACCCCTATTTTTATTTGAGGAAAGAGAGCCCTTCATTATACAAACCTACACTGATACATAGTTTGCAAAATCAGTTATGTTTATCTCACTGGAGTTACTCCAGATATGCAGTGCATATGGGAGCCCCTAAAATGAGAATCTGGGTCGACAAACGTGAAGGTGGAAGGCAGGAGGAGATAAATTTGATATGATTGCAGAACTGTTTTCCTTCCCTGCTCAAGGCTGAGGAGTTGTTGTGACACATCTGTTCAGCACACAGAGCAGGTAGGAGATACACGGCATACAGTAGTTTTATCACAACAGATGGAATGATTTTAATTATAAAAGTTAAAGACAAAAGAATGCCAAGTTTCTCACTTCGCTTATGGTGTGTCTTAAAGCAGTTGTCATCAGTGGGTACCTCGAGGGGACACTTGCTTGCCTCTGAGAATTAGACCAGATTTAATGTTTTGGAACAGACATTAATAGAACAGCCCATTTTAAGGCAATAACATTTTTTCATCTGGTTTCTCTTTCTTTTTAGGGAAAGCATATCCTTCCTCTCAGAGACCTCGGCCAAGCAGTCCTTTTTCTACTGACAGCAACACCAGTGCAGCTGTCAATCAGAGTCAGAGGCCGAGGCCCACTAAAAAACACAAGGGAGGACGGTTGGACCAACCCCCCTTGCCTCATCGTAGGGAGGGAATAACAGATGGTAAGTGTTGTGGTGAAGTCCCAGATGATAACCTGCAACAAGCAGGTGTGCAGAGCAGGAGAGCATGGAACAACCTTTTAAGGGTTATATGTTATGGTGAATTATTTTTTTGCTGAAGTGGGATCCCCAGGTTGCCACATGAGCAGTATTGCAATGCTAGCAGTGTGGAGTTGGTTAAGTATGTTTTCAAGGAAACTTATCTTTGTTTCAGCTCTGAACATGTTAGCATCTCTTGGGTTTTCTCAGATCCCAGTATAAATCTTACCCAAAAATGACTGTGTTGCATGTAAGTTGACATTAAGAAATGGCCTGTGGGTAATTTTACATTAAATGAAAGTAACCACCACCAGCAGTAGCAGTATGCCATTGATTCCTAAGGAGAAGCGTAGAGCCAGTCCCAGAATGTTCTGTTTTCTTTGTGCTGGTTTTGTTGGCCACCCAACAGCTACAGCAACATGTGCCATGCTTTTCTCATGATTCTGCCTCACATCTTGTCCATGCTGCTTCATTCCTGACGTCCACTGACCTCAGTGACTTTGTTTCCCTCTTTGACATCTCCACTTCTCTCTGACAACTGCTTCCCATCTGGGAATATCAGGCATGTCTGTTCTGCTCTTCTGATGACTAAGATCAGCTCAGTCTTCCATTAGCTTTTTCTACCCCCTCTTGAGTTTGGCAAAAGACATAATTGCTGCCTCCTCTTTGAGGAGGATTGGATAGGAAGGTGGCCAGGTAGCTACCTCCCCCTCATTTCTTCTGATCTCCAGCCTGGCCCTTGTAAGTGTTGAAATGATCTGAGGGGAGCAGGCAGCAAATGGAAAAACAGCATTAAAGGAACCACTAAGGGTATTTGTAATGCCATGCAGATGGAGATGTGATCACTTTCCTCATGCTGACCTCTCTTTTAGTGTTCAAAGTGGGGCAATTCTGAGAGCTAGAATGTTCCTCCTGCCTCAGGGGCTCTCATAACACTATTTGGACCACAGGAGAGGGTGTGATGCCTAATCTTATGTACACGTTGACAAATCTTGCAGTGTATGGGGAAGGTGGGAAGATGTAAAAATAAAAATTACTTTAGATTTTAGTATAAACATCATCCTTGTTCTAGTAAAAATTACTTGAGAATCATAGAATATCTCTGGTTGTAAAGGATCCATAAAGATCATCAAGTCCAACTCTTTTCATTATATTCTTTGGACAGGTAACGTAATAAACAGATTTGATAGACAGTATATTTAACTTGGTTTATTTATAAAGTGCTATTTATTACTCTAGGTACATGTATAAAATATATTAATAGCTTGCAAGGTGGACTGTGGCCAGTAAAACCACCAGAGCTCTCGTCTCAGTCATGTTATCAGGTGTACAGATACAATTTTACAGTATGCCCTGACAGATTCCTTGTTTGTCAGACCACAGATACCAGAAGTGAAAGTCTTCACCAAATGGGTTACCATTACATCTCATGCTCTATGGCTCACCCTCACTACCATATTATTTGGGGAAACAGCTTAAAGTAGCTTGGACTCCACTCATGGACCTGAATTGGTTTAAACATTAATGCTCTTCCCGTCTGGATACATTCCGGAGGCCTCCCTGCTATGCAGATCCATTAAATGCATGCGTCTGTGAGGATAGTAACTGGAAATCATGGGTGTCGCTTGTGGTGCTGGCAATACTCTTTCTGTGCATATGTTAAATCAATCCTTCTATGTTGCATATCCTGTCACCCTGAACCCATGAGCCTTTTGGGTCACAGATTTTGTGTACAAGGGATTTTCTAGTGCACTCAGTAATCTTTCTGCTTTTAAGTACTATCCCTACAGAAATGTTTAACAATAATGTGGGTACCAGAAAATTAATGGGAATCCACTTCAGGTAATGAGACAGATGGAAGTGTGACTCCTTGGGAGTGACCATCATAAAACCTGGCATTGTTCTAGATTAGTGAAAGAGATCAGATTTTAAGATTTATTTAAAACCAGGAATCACCTCTTGTCTTTTATTTATTCTTTATAAAATACTAATCTTATTGGTGTTTTTTTTCCTATATTTGAGTCAGATTATCAATGATACACTATTTCCTTCAGCAATCCACTTCTCAGACACAGACAGTAACCATAACAGCTTTCAGACAACATAAGCTTAACATTTTTCTGTTATAAACCTAGTTAAAGTGCTTACTATATGTTCCAAAAATTTATAATGTCCTGGAGTAATACAGGATCTTTTCCCATCCTGTCTTACCACAGGAACAACTTGTACAGTTTTTCCACTTCAACTCTTACTGAATACAAGTCATTAAAGCATAGCAGCAAGTCTGAGTCATAGCTAAATTTGCAAGAGAACATTTGTCAATTAAACAAGCTAAAGATTGCTGCTGCACCTGTGTGTATGTAAACACACTGAATTTAGGAACCTCTGGTATAGAGAAATTAAAAATGATAGCTGGATGCTTTGTGTGGAATATTGCAATGAACTTTAAAAAGAGAGGCAATACCACTGTGCTTAAGCTACAGATAGAAAAAGCAAGTAGGAGAACCTGGGACAGATCCAGCAATTCTAAGCCCCTGAGCTGTCCTGATTTTGGTGGGAAGCATCACTATACATTTTCTCCTGGTTTTGAGATGTCTCCAGTCTATACCCTTACAACTGCTTCCTCTTGGATTTGTCATATGAAAACATACTTGGTTTGTCAGTCGTCTTAAAATTCCCAGGCTTCATGAGTCCTAGCATCCTGTTTTTAAGTCTCATCACATACTGGATATCTGTCATTTTAAATTTTCATTGACCAAGTAAGCTCCAGCCATTTTCATTCCCTGCCCTTTCCCATACACATTCTGAGCACTTCCTCCTTGTTAACTGTAACCATGTGGGACAGTGAAAAAGATCTAAGAAACTATAATACTTAATACATAGCACACAGGTCCCAGACTCTGTAAACATCTGAGGGTACAACTGCATGCTTGCTTTTGACAGCAATCCACACAAATCCCTAAAAGCCTGCTCCTTCATTTTCTTTGGTCGCAGGTCAGAATCCTCTAGAGACTGACTCTAGATTGAGTCTTCATATTGTCTTTCTGTACAACTTAGGTTTTAACTTTCGCATCCTAAAAGACCACAGAGACAACAGCAAATCTGCAGAGAAAGAATACTTTAGATGATGAAAATCTTCATTCTGAGCTCACGTTCCACCATAAAAAACAAACTGGATGTTTTTAGTTCTAGTGTTCAAGAATTAATTTGTTTTCCTAGAAACAATGTATTTGTGAATTGTAAAACAGTGGAATCTGTCATATGGGTGGTGGCATTGTAACTGCATGACTGAAGTTAAAAGCCCTTCCTTAGCTGAGCATGATGTTTAATAAAAACAAAGAGGAGGCAAAAGGGAAATATGATTAGGGGTTAAAAAGGAGAATTGGGACTTAAGACTTCTATTAGCTTTGCCACTGACTTCCTATAATGTATTGCAAATCAATTTTTGCTAAGGTAGATCACTGTGGAGAAAATACTTACTTTCTGATGATAGAAAGTAGTTCAGTCTTATTAAATGTCACAGTAATTATCACCTGTAGGAAAACAAATCACTGGCACAGGTAGAAAGGGATATCTGTATACTTGTAGGTTTTGTAACTTGCTGCTTTTTCCAGTTAATAATGAGAGCCTGTGCCAAAACTTGACTGGTGCCTGAAGCATTTGGCCAATTCTCTGCCTTCTAAAGGAGGGCTGGAGTGATCCCAGGCCAAACATTCATCTGCTTCTTATCATTCACTCTAATGTCCTGCAGCTTCTCAATCACAATCTCTCCATTACTAAATCAATAAGACCATCACCTGACCAACAGTGCACTTAGAAATTGCCTTGCAGGTTTGATAGTCCTGCCATAGAGACTGCAAGTAGTAGTCTGGATGACATCCCACTGGCCTAGTAAGTTAATAGCTCAGTGTAACCTGAAACACCTGGAAGAAGGAGGCTGAGGGGAGGCCTCATCGCCCTCTACAGCTACCTGAAAGGAGGCTGCAGAGAGCTGGGGATGAGTCTCTTTAACCAAGTAACAAGCGATAGGACAAGAGATAATGGTCTCAAGTTACATGAGGGAATGTTTAGACTAGATATAAGGAACTATTCCCTTCCAGAAAGGGTTGTTAGGCGTTGGAATGGGCTGCCCAGGTAGGTGATGGAGTCCCCGCCCCTGGAGGTGTTTAAGAGTCAGGCTGACATAGCGGTGAGGAGAGGGGAGGGGCGGGGCGGG